TATTCCAACTGTCAAGGGTTCTTTTACATGTACGCCAACGTGTGCACTGGACCACAAATCTAACGCGAAGCCCCAAACCTACTGTGTTTAAGAATAACATCTTTTTTGTATTAAATTATGTTCGTGTGGGTATATCAACTAGCGATGTGTTAATAAACCTGATTTATGTTGTGATTTGCTTTATATTTTAGATATGTTGTGATATTATAGATGTAACGTGATTTATTTTATATTATAGATATAATGTGATTGTTTTATATTATAGATATAACGTGATTTATTTTATATTATAGATATAATGTGATTGTTTTATATTATAGATATAACGTGATTTATTTTATATTAAAGATATAACGTGATTTATTTTATATTAAAGATATAACGTGATTTATTTTATATTATAGATATAACGTGATTTATTTTATATTAAAGATATAACGTGATTTATTTTATATTATAGATATAATGTGATTGTTTTATATTATAGATATAACGTGATTTATTTTATATTATAGATATAATGTGATTTATTTTGTATTATAGATATGTTGTGATATTATAGATATAACGTGATTGTTTTATATTGTAGATATAACGTGATTTATTTTATATTATAGATATAACGTGATTTATGTTGTATTATAGATATGTTGTGATATTATAGATATAACGTGATTGTTTTATATTATAGATATAACGTGATTTATTTTATATCATAGATATAACGTGATTGTTTTATATTATAGATATAACGTGATTTATTTTATATTATAGATATAACGGGATTTATTTTATATTATAGATATAACGGGATTTATTTTATATTATAGATATGTCGAGTTAGATGATTGGTGGTATGTGAAGACAGACAATAAAATAATTAACTGGACAACACCATCTACATCCTTTCCTCTCGGCTTAGAGTAAGTCCCCTTTTATTAAAATACAGACCAAGGACCCATTTCTAATTAAATGTGATTTAGATGTCTAAAGGCAGATAACTGTAGATAAGAGAAAAGTCATATATGTATACTAAACACGTATTCTTTAATGGTTGAAATCGCGGGTCCATGATAGTTCGGACTGGGACGAAATCTGCAGGCGGATTTAATATTTAGATCTGACCACATTATTTCCCATGGGATGCCCATTGAACATTACGGACTTGAATTCTCTCAATCTCCAAAATAATGACAATGGAGTGAAAAGGGGGCTTAAAGGACAAACTTTACAATATAGGGGTATTTTAATATACTTTTAATCCATCTCCAGGAAACTTCACAAAACCACTGGTCTAAAGTTTGCGGCTTATGCAGGCATATGGTAAGCAATAACACAGTTCATTCGTATAACCAGCATTATCGCTAAATTAACATCTGATTAAAGACTGGAAACTGAATTCTGTAAGTACCGGGAAGAACATTCGGGACTTTCGGTACTTTTTCAAGCCCGGTTTTCGCTAGTTAGATTCCCTTGTCGATTTGTTTATTTAGGGCGAAACCTTGCGTGTCATAATATAGGTCATTATGGCACTTACAAGATCTCACAGCAACTTCAATTTGTCAAGAACAGAGAGAATCACAAAAAAAAAATGTTTTTTAATGTCCACTCGACACAAACTAGGTCATTTCGGGACTAACATATGCTTTAATTGTATATTTCAATAATTTGCTTGTGCATAGGGGTATTTAGCAGTGGGAGGAAACCGAAGGACATGCGATTCTGCTCCTTGTCACGTACAAGCGGGGAATCGAAACTACGCCACTTGACTCAATGATAGATCCTATGATTTCACGCGCACGCGTTAAACCACTAGACCTCCCAACCCCCAGTGTCAATTTCAAGAAGACGATTATCAAATGTACGCAACCAGTTCCTGATTCTATGAAACAGAATTGTAACACATAACACAATAATGTTATTAGGGATAGGGGTCTGGCATAGTCATTTGGCCGTTCCCCGATCTACCATTCATTTATAATGAATACAAAAATAATGTTAACTCCAGTATTTATGGCACAATATAGCCCTGTTGCTGACGACGTGCCATTAAACAACAAATCATTTCATTTCATTGATAACCGGCAGACTAATTAAGATGTCTTTAATCAGAATACGTGTGTTTAACCCTATATTTGTATTGCACTTTGCATGAAGGGTATATGAATCTTTCAATCAATATTAAATATTAAATATTGATTGAAAGATTCATATACACTTGATCCAAAGTGCAATACAAATACAAATTTTGTATTCCGTTTTAAGGTCGCCTGACAATGTTTATGCCAGACAAAATGGAGGGAAATATGATTTTGTGATTGAAAATGAGATAGCTCTTCCAAATGATCAGGTGAGTCTCCCCTACCTCCATTTATATTGTCAACAATAAGCGACATATGACCCGCACATCACAAAGGTAGCACTTTATTAGTATAATCTAATGTACACTAGAACCAGCCATCTTGAAATTGTGACGTCATTAAAAATAATAATCGTGATATTTACCTCAGTAAGCCTTAGGCTTTTATTTGGAAACACGAAGAAAAAGATTTATAATTGTATGGAACAAGTTCTTGATTGTAAACTTAAAACATCAATCATATAATTCAATTGCTGGTTTCCTCCTGTTGTCTTTTGAAATTGAAATGTTTTTATAACATTATTCGTTTCCTTCTATATAAACATTACATTTTGCAAGAGCTAAATCTTCCTATTTCAGGTCTTTCTTTAGGCATGAAATGTTATCTAAATTATTAATTAGACATTAATTAACTTATCCAGACCATAATAAATTCTTGATGCCATCGCTATCCTGCGATATTTACTGGATTAGGATCCGATTTTCCGATTTGCTGCTCACTTTTCATTTATGATTTAATCATGAAATGGATACTTGAGACTATGTTTTTTAACGTACCGACGTTAGTAATTATGATCGAGACCAGGCCGAAAATTCAATCGTTAAATTCTCGGTTCAGAGTGGATCAATTTTACTGAAATTTTCAGCAAATTCCCTTTACATTATTTAGGTTTTAACTATTATAGTGAGAACTGTCAGCTCTTTATCTAATCTCCCATAATGTATCTTTAAGTGCATTATTAGTGTGATTCATTTTTTTATTGCAGCAATTTTGGGAAGATCTATTTCAAGAAGCGAAATCTTTGGGAATTGTTACATTTGTGCAAGTGAGTGATCTTATGGAATTTGTTGAGAAGGATTAATAAAATTTACATCGGGTTTGCGTTCTTCTGTGCAAACACCGACTCATGAGCACGATGCCGCGTGTATTTGTACATTCTGAAAATATATCTAGTACCCTTTAGGACCTGGTCGATGGCTTGATAGTGGCGCGGTTGTTGTGTTGAGATTGCTACCAGAGTTCATCAACGTTCTCCAGTACCTAAATGTTATTTCATTGCTCTCTGAAACAACCCATTTCAAAGTAATGAAGTCCTTTTCAGTTCATTGTATTTCACAAGCTCTAAAATCCAATGAAATCGACCATTTTATTTTTGACCCAAATCTAAGAGATTTAGTCAGTTTCGCTATCTACTCTTTTTTCTAATGTTCTATTAACTTTTCTATTTAAATTTAATGTTATATTTAATGTTTTATTCAGTGGTATTTTAATGTTATATTTAATGTTTTATTTAGTGGTATTTTATGTTATATTTAATGTTCTATTCAGTGTCAAATTTAGTGTTATGTTCAGTGTTAGATTTGATGGTCTGTTTGATGTTCTTTTTACTGTTTTAGGGTGGTATGAGTGAAGTGTTTTTATCTATGAATTCCACTAAAACCGACTTGTATCTAGCCAGTAATTGGTTGAATCAGATGTCTAATGCTGGTTTGAAATATAACATCTCTATTATATATACCGATCCTTATCCAAGACATATATTGCACGCTATGATCAACCCTGCTGTTACCCAGGTTATTGCAGTTTTTCTATTAAAAACCCCGAACCCCCAAAACATAGACCACTACAGTCTTTATATATCTAGATTTTTGACCATATACAACGACTTTATTTACTATTTAGAGAACGGTTACGACAACTTGGGTTAGAGTTTAATTCATGCAAGTCGTTGTATATCGACAAGAACGTGACCCCGTTCTCATATTCTGGGCATATTTTTGGCTATGGGTTTCAAATCAAAGTTGCCATTACCACATGGGAGAGCATTAATGTATGGGTTTCCAATCACCTGTTAAAGAACTCCTAAAGTAGCAAAGAAAATACAAAACATTTCATCTGACTGTTCCACCCTTATATTGTTTAGTGACTTACCCTTTAATAGGTCTGAATAATCTTAATGAAAAATGAAGTTTATCTTACTCTCTCGGTTTAACTTTCCACCGACATTGTGTCCGACGTTAATTCAACCACAACGGAAATGATCGGGATGTATTGATACATGTCATTCTTTAACAACATAATATTTTGAGATGATTAGGGAGGATGTCATTCATATGTTGTCCTATATTATTTTAAGATATTTAAAACGTTACTGACTGATTTTGATCGTCTAAATATTTAGGTGCGGGTTAGTGATGATTATGGTAGTCAAGGTGATCAGTGGAAGATAGGTATAAATTCACTGTTTACAGCTGGTGTACAGGTCGGTGCGGCTAAAGGTGTATTTAAAAGTAAAACTGGTCAAACAGGTAATGGTATGCATTGTGTTTGGGGGGAGGATAGTCCAAATCGCCCAGTGACTAGCATTTGCTACATATTATTTCAACAATCCACTTGAGTTGGGGGAGGGGGCGGGGGAGGAGGCTTTTCTAGTTTTATTTCTATACCCGGCTTATCATTTTACAATAATTGTATTAAACAATTCGTAGAAAACCTGTTGGAATTGTCAGTTGCTTCCAAAATTCTTATGTATCTCATAAGAACAAGACTTCCATGACCATGAACATTCGATAATAAGGGACGGATATCCTATCTCTATTTATTTGGCAGGCTATTCAGAACCAAATCCACGATTACAAGAAGTGGTAGCTGTTTTATCTGGTGGGTTTGTAGGTGTAGGTGATAGTTTAGGTTCTACAGACACAGAACTACTAAAAAGGTAATAACAATTAATATTCAAAATATACCATTGGGGTGATGAGCATACCGGAACACTTAGCGAGGCAGCTTTACATTGTTCGATTTAGATTCCTTGGTTTGGCATACAGGAATTAAGTCTTTATATCAAGACATAGGTGCCAATCAGGTGCAGTTTCCAAATACGCAAATATAGAAATGCAGTGAAATGAAATGGTTTCTAACGTCTTACGTGTATGCATCCCAAACAGGGTTATAATATTTATTATAGAAATTTATTAGGGAAATTTTGGCCGGACAGTGGCGCTAGGGCCTACTCTTATAACGAATTCCGTTTCGTCCCATCCCAACGATTAGACAGCTGTCCTTGTCAGATCGTCCATCCGGCACCACTGACAAGGGGAAGAAACCACGCAGGAAAATCCCGATGAACTTCCTCGGCCAACAGGCTGCCCATTTGTTATAACGATTCAATGCTGTTGTTGTTCTTCTTCAGGTGTTGCGGTGCAGATGGCCGTTTGTTAAAAGCATGGCGTCCTGTAAAAGCAATTGACAGTCAAATTATACAGGTTTGATTGATTAATATAACAAGAATGACGTCGAATGTTATATATATATCCACTGATACACATCCATACTTAGACTTTCGTTCATGTCATCCAGCGCATACCAAAAGGAATATTCCTTATAATCTTGCAAGACGGATATGTACAATTGTATCTTCGGAAGAGGATAAATCAAAACGTCCGAAAGAGCTAAGGGAATTCCTTACAAAACAACATTATCCTTTAAACTTGATAAATATTGGTATAGAAAACGCCTCTAAACTTAACATTGGTGATCTCAGAAAACCCAAAATAAAAGACAACATTTAATCCTTCTCAAGAAAGAGGGTTGTCCATTGTAAAAGGGCGGTTGGATATTTTAAAGAACAAGAGTCGTAAATTAAAATACATCCTAAATAATTCAAAAATTATAAATACTCTAAAACAACCTCAAAATCTTAGAAGAATATTAACATCATCAAAGTTTGATTCTGATATTTCGGTACCCCGTGTATCCAAGTGTGGGGACCTACGATGTATGACATGTTCCGATATATTAGAAGGAACATTTGTCCAAATTACTAAAGATTTTAAATTCTATGTTAAACAAAATATGAATTGCAAATCGAAGTATGTAATTTACTTATTAATACGTAATGGTTGTAATGGCAAGTACATTGGAAAAACTACTCATCAGTTGAATTTACGAATTAACCAACATCGTTCTAATATAAAACTCGCAAGAAATAGAGTTTTGCCGGTGAGCGAACATTTGGATATTTGCGGTAAAGGTCAATTAAAGATATTTCCTTTTTACAAACTCAATATTAGTGATAATGATCTCTTTGAAACAAAAGAAAGCAACTTTATCGCTAAATATAACCCAATTTTGAATGCTAAGGGGTGATTATTTTAATTATGTTTGATATTTAATTAATGTTATTTCGTTTTAATTTTTATATTTCACATTGTCATTGTCCTCTGTTATGACGTAACGTTATTGTAACAGCATAGTAACGCATTAAAATGACCTGACGATTCGTTTGATAACGATGAAAGTACTAGCCAAAATTTTAATTTTTAGTGTTTTTTCTCTAATACTTGAATTTTGCTTATATGATTAACTGAGAGTTAGATCGTTTTATATATTTATATGTAAGTTCTAACATGTTATCTCCAGAGAGCTTTCCAGGATGGCAGTGGACCGAGTGGTGAAGTATGGTATAGCTATTCTGTCATTTCAACCAACATTACAGAACATAATCTGAAATATGGTATAGTGTTTGCTGCCGAACAAATGGGGGAATATATTATGACACCTATGTCTATAAATCTGGAAGATATATATAACAAGGTTTGTACCAAGGGATACAGATTTAAATTCACTAAATTGTGACCAGGGGTCCGCTGTTTGGGAGCCCATGAATTTATTAAAAAATAAACAAAGTTTATCTTCACATCCGGGGAGAAAAACGGTCTTAGAGTGGAGCTTAGGAAAAGTGAATCAGGCTAGTTTCGTTTTCTCAAGTTCACTTAAAGGAGCTAAATCGCTAATATTTGGGACCTAGAAATTGACACAAATGGGTCACATGGCTTATAATAATGTAATATGAATGTATATAAACTGATTTACATTCAACCGTTTCCGTTTTTACTATAATTTCTGATCAGTTATGTTCGGCGAAATACGCCAGAAGTCTCAATTGAATGGCAATCTTTAGCGTCTGGTTATTCCAGTCTATACCGATGATATTTATTGCGCGTGCTCTCCAGATAAGAATATAGCCTCACCATTTGACATGACTTGTGGGATATGTCTAGCCGCGTTCTTTGAGTCCCTTACCAATGGTAAAATGTTTATTTTGTCTTGAATATTGGATATCAGAAGCCCATCTTTTCCCTGTCAGATCACAAGACCAATGTTGATTTGAATTGACAAATAATTCGTGTTTCAATGTCGAAGATTTTTGATGATGATATTGAGTTAAAGACTTAGTTACTTTAAGCTATAGTATTTTAAAGATAATCGAGTCATGTCACATATTCTTATGGGTGCTCAAGGAAAACAGTTAGAGCTACCCAGTCCACTCCCGAATGTGGTCAGGTTATACGATCAGTGTGGTGAAACATCCAACGTTACACATAGGCTTTTATTCTGCATTCAAGGTCGTTATATCGATAAAAGCCGTATGTCATGTATGTGTCACGCAGCAGTGACGATAGTTACATCGATAAAAGCCGTATGCCATGCATGTTCCTGAAGCAACGATCGCAAGTTTTACAACATCTAGATGTACGTAGTTAAGGCGAGATCAAGCCTTCTATTGAAGATGTATGCCATGTCTATGTCACACCGCAGTGACGATCAAATTTAAGTTTCTCTTTGATATTCTCCTTATATAGTTCTCCATATATAGTACAGTCAGGTGGGATACAAATTAATTTAAATACTTCACTTGTCCGAAGATATCTTGACCAGTTGAGAGGCCGGAAGGGGGGGGGGCAATGATTCAATGCGCACACGTTAAACCGCTTGACACCCCAATCCCTCCGACGATACTATTGAAGTCCACTGACAGTCTCCATATATAGTGCAGGCAGGTGTGATACAATTTAATTTAAATACTTCACTTGTCCGAAGATATCTTGCCCTGTTGAGAGGCGGGGGAGGGGACAATGGTTCAATGCGCACACTTAGACCACTTGACACCCCAACCCCTCCGACGATACTATTAAAGGTCACTGACTTGTTGATTCCCCTTTAGTAGGGTACATTTGTGATCGATAACAGGTATGTCTTTAAAGATAAAGGTTAGATTGAGAAGGTGGAGAAAAACTAATGCTTAAAACTATTAAAAGGATATTGGCTGATTAAATAGATGTCACGTTTTTATTTACAGTTACCTAAAAGTAAAATATTTTCGTACCGCAGTCCCGATTACTTGATGGATTTTAGTGAGGAGAATCCAGTGACGTTGTCCGGATGTAGTTTAAAGGATTTTTGTCTCTATTACACTGTTCCGGTTATAACAGACAATCGGTGAGTTGATAAAATAATTTAAAAAAAACCCTCAACTCTCCTCTTGTTTAAACAATATCTTATTCAATAACAGACTTATTATTATGAATATAACACCCTTGGTCAGCTGATATAAAACCGGCTACTTATGATAGATCAATAAACCAAATCCATTGATAGATAGATGTTTATTTTTCTCATTCAATGGGCAATTTATTCTTATCAGAGTTTTAATACGAATTTCAATGTCATTAACCACGGGTACTCTGGGCATATGGCCAGCAGAGTCACTAATTAAACATACATTATGCAAGAGCTAAATCGGACTATTGCAGGCCTGAAATGTTATCTAAATTATTAATTGGACATTAATTAACTTATTCAGATCATAATCAACTCTCAATGCCATCGTTAGCCTATGATATTTACTGGATTTGTATACATTTAGTGATGGATAATTTAACGTAGAAATGGATGATCGAGACTCCGTTTGTTATCATACCAACTGCAGCAATGACGACCGAGCCTAGCCTAAAATTCAATAGCTAATATCTCGGTTCAGAGTGACTCAATTTGACTGAAATTTTCAACACATTTTGTTTTTGTTATCTATTTGTTAATAATTATAGCGAGAACTGTCTGCTCTTTATCAAATCTTCTTTTATGCCCCTTTAAGAGTTTGAATCCAGCAATCAGAATAATTATATGAGTGTACTATAAAACAGCAGAGTAATTGACTAAGAGTATAAACTTGAAACTCTGGACATTTGAAATTAAATAAAATTGGGTTGAACGTCCTACTGCTCTGCTCCGACTCTAATGAAGACGGGCATACGCCATACAGTATGCTATGAGGGCAATTTTACCCTTGGCTACGAGCAACTCTTATATCGAATTCCAACTGCCAAGGAATCCTTTACGTCCACTCCAATGTGTATCGGGGACCTCGGTTTATCGGTTCATCCGAACGACTATGCGTTGTCCCTTTTGAGGCATATGACCAAGAGAGTCACTAACCAAGATCATAACTTGAAACTGGGTATATGACCAACATAGGTACTAACTAAATTAAATGAAATTAAATGGGGTTTAACGTCCTACTGTTCTGCTCCGAACTGGGGTACTAACTAAAATCATAACTATGTGTATATGACCAGCATAGTAACTAACCGAGATCATAACTTGAAATTATGACCAGCATAGTTACTAACCCAGATCACAGATAGTCACTAATTGTTATTATTTATTTTTTTTTACACAGAACAACTTTATTGAGAAATTTAATTCATATTTCAGTTTACCCACACTTAACATAATATTCAATTATTCTTGTTTCAGGGGGCGTGAAATTTTAATATTAGGAGAACTGGATAAATGGATTCCAATGGCCATGAATAGAGTAACAACAGTATTTATGGGTGATGACGTATCATTATCTGTGGCAGGTGCTCCAAGGGAGACGATTCATCTCACAATTCTAATAAACGGTAAACGTGACGTGTACACAATAAAGACTGACGACACAGGTCACGGGCATCTATCTATTGAACCGAAGCCAGCTATCTCTTCAGCGACAAAACAGCAAATCTATTGTTCAGTGTTTGTGTTTTTATTAATTACAATGTATCAGTTATGTTTTCAATAATATGGACAATAAACTAAAAACCAGGTGATATAATTTGTTGGCACACCAAATGCTGATTTATTATTCGGATATTCTAGATTTATGACTGTTCGGGTGTATTTCCAGATTACCAAGACTGTAAATCTTTATAATCAATGTCCTTCTTTTGTCCAGTGAAGACATGTAGGACTTTAAAATCTATTTCATTGCATTATTATTTCCTTCTATGATCTGTCTGTTTAAATATCATTTATGATCAAATTCCAATAGCTTTAATTGACATTGGATAACGAATTACAATAGCCCTGAAAACCTGTTCAAGTTCGAATATCCGAATATTTATGTGAGAACTAAATAGAATTAATATCTGTCCCACGATATATTTTACCTATCGAACATACGGGTTGAGTAATATACTTTTATTAACGACAATATTTTTATTTTTGCGTACCATGCATTGCAATAAAACAAATAAAGAAAACTCTTATGGGTTATGAATTGTTCATTTAAGTATAACTTCATTTATTAGTTTCCACTTGACCGCAGTGGTGCATTAGACAATTGCTTTCATGTGTTTGTTGGGGGGGGGGGGGGCTGGATTGCAAATAAAACTTTGGGTTAATTACATGTTCTAAAGATGAACTGGGTCAGTAACGTACGATTGTCTGGTATTCCATATTCAGCCATCGTTTTTGATACTCACAAAAAAAACCCCGCCCATTAGAGAAATTGGCACGCAGTTTCCAAGTTGGTACATTGTAGTAGCCAGTCGAGTAAAGGGTGCCTCGCCAATCACGAGGGTTTGTCTTTAAAAGAGCTATGCAGGCTCGGATTTCTCAGATACTATTGAGACACCATGGGGAAATCTTGTTCCTATGGTTGCTTCCCAGATCAGACGATGAGAGGGCGGTATTTACCGTCATTGTTGTTGTTAAGACATGTTTGTAACTAATAGAGTTATATAAACACGGATTTAGAACATTACGGTGTTCCAGAGTTTCATTATATCTTAACCCAATCTTGGGCGAGATATCAAATTTATTTGATTTTTTAATATGATGTCTAAAATGTCACGAAATTGAAGTTTTAGTAGTTTAAAATCGGTTAAATTTTAAAAATCTGTTAATTTTGGTCATTTCAAAGGCTGTCCCAAAAATGGGACGCTGCCCACAAGAGGGTACATGTTTTAATAAAAATATAAACAATAGCAGTGGAAATTATAATGACGGTTTAACAAAGAAACAACTAGTTTTTATTTAGATCAGGTAATTTATTTCATTTCTAATTATATTTGTATAAAATATCAAACGTTAAATAATGTAAAATCCCATGTAGGCTAAAGTCCCATTTTGCTGTATAATTTACTAAATCGCTTTAACCGGCGTTAAAAAATTACAGGTGACGGAAAATTCTTCTGGTTTATTCAGACATATTCTCCTACTTAATTTATTCTGGGGGTTGAATAAAAATATCGGCACCATTTAAGTCGTCCTCGTCATCCAATATCCGATCCAAGGTTTCATTTATACGGAAGCGTACAGGGGTCATGCAAAATTTTGTAGAAGGCCTCGAGATCCTGCGATCCTGTGATACTTTCTCGAGATCTCAATTTAATGTTCTCGAAATCCCCTAATAAATTTCTCGAGAATCTCCCATCCTGCGTTAACGATCTCGAGAATTGGAGTTAATGTTCTCGGGATCTTGC